TTTAAAGTCTTACCAAGAACACTTATACCAAGCCCTTTGTAGTCCACCAAATCTTTCTGTGCTTCTAATAATACCTAACGAAAGAAAAAAAATCCAGAAATAAATTAAGGGATTTTTCAACTATGTGGAGTCACTGATGCATCACACCTATGCCAGCTGCTCTACACTGCAATAACCTGACACTTGTCGAGTGAGATTAACAGAAGTATAGTCACCATAATTTCATTGTATCTGGCAGCTGAAGGTTTTCATAAGATAGCAAACTCAAATCATATGCTTGTTGTGGAGACCATGTTTCAAGTTATTACCTTTCCAGATTTCGGAATGATTTCTAGAAGTCAAATGGAACTCTTAACCTTTACAAAACACCTAATGTTTCCATACATACTCTTTCTAAGCAAGCGTCCTGAATACCCATACCCACCCCTGTATCTGTGATCTTTCACTTGACTTGTATAAATAGGACAACCAAGGTATTGAAGAAAACATAAGGGAAAAGGTCAGCTTGGGGAATTGGATACCTTAAACCGAGCCAACAGGACAATGACTGGTTTTACGGAATGAAGCTCCACACTTTTTGAGGATGAGTCTTTTCTACGTTATTGAAAGTTAAGAAAGAAATGAAGCAAAATTTTGAGACAACCAAAAAAAACAGGTCACTCCTAGAAGTCCTAGCCAAGTAATCTTCTGCTTCAGCCTTCCATTTTTTCCTGTCTTCTCCCATAGCTCTTGAATATTAACGAAGTAGAATGAGATTCTGGCCACTGGATCTGCAGCTTCTGATTTCAGTAAATTCTCGTATGAGAGCCAGAACACTCCTGGCTTTCCTAAAGGAAATGGGAGAAGAGGGAGCCCCAGTAGAACAATCACCAAAACAAATGCTACATGAATGCACCCCAGGATCTAACAAGAAACTGCACACTCTGGACAGGTTCAGGAACAAGAGATCTACCTTGCTGACAGGGTATCTGCACGGCCTATAAACTGTAACAGCTGGTCAGCAAGAGGTCATCTGAAAACAACTGTGCTGCTTTTCATTTTAGCGATTAGTTTTAAATACCATGTTCCACAATCAAATTTATCCATGCCAGAAAAGGGGGGAAAAAGTGAAAGGGAGCACACAGACTACTAGAACTGCTTGATAAAATCCAGTTCTGCTAGTAATATTTATCAGACAATCTGCCCATGCCTGACAATAGACATCAACAACACGTCTTATAATGGCCACAAATTGCTCCATCCACCTTCATGCTTCAGTGAGTCTGAGTACTTCATGTGAAGCACAATCAAAGAGAAACAAGCGAGATGATAGAGTAGTCCACATAAGAACACAGCATTTCAAGAGAAGAAAACATATTAATAATACAGAGTTCAGCTATGACCTACTCAAGCCCTAAATCCAGTTTTCAGTAGTCTGTCAGAGACCTGGGTACTACAGCAGTCCCATTGAGAGCACCTTTTGGAAACCAAAGATTCAAGACAGAACAACAAATTTCTTGGCAACCTCATCTACAAAGGACATTTCCGAGAGAAAAAAGAAGGGGGGGGGAGGAGAGTGGAGGGAGAGGGAACAAACAAACAAACAAACAAAAAAATCAAGTAAGCTGCTCTGCAGCAAATTCATTTGCCTAAAGAAACTTTCTAAAGAAATAACACGTCTATTCCCTTCCCCTATGAAGGGAACTAAGAAAAGAACCAAGAAAAAAAATAATTCCACAGTACATAACCCTTAGTTGAAAGTCAGATGCGTGCAATTTGGAAAAAAACACCCTCTCTCCATATCCCACTGGGTAATCCACGGCTGCTGATGCAACATTCCAGAGGGTTGAGTCTACGCTACACTCACTATAATTTCTTAAATAAAGACGACTCATGGAATACTCTACACAGCTACCCTTCTGCACAGAGTACCTACTTCCCATCCTAAAACTAACGAAATGCCCTTGATGCCATATGATCTGGTTTGGAAAAAAACCGACTCCGAGAGCAATCAAAACACACTAGGGCTCGCTTCCAAAACTCCGAGCTTACCATGGCAGTTCGTTGGGTGGAGAAGGGAGAAGAAAGGAGGTTTCGGCGCTGTGCGGCTTAACTCTTTTAATGACTATTTACTCGAGCTTTCCCAGCCGCTGCTTTGCAGCCGGCGCCCGCAGGGAAGCCGTGAGGACGAGGACACCCACCCGTGCCGTGCCCCAGCCCGGCCCTTACTCACGGAGCGCGGCAGCTTCGCCGGCCCGGCCCCGAAGTTCGCCACCTGCCGCCCGCCGTCCATCGTACTGGGGATGGTGTCACTGCTGACTCCGGCGGTCCCCCAGGCGGGCCGATATAAACCCCCCGCCGCCGGGAGCCTGGTGGGGTCCGCCCCTGTCCCGGACGCCCATTGGCAGCGCGGCGGGGAGGCGGTGGGACCGGGCGGGGCCGAGCGCAGCGGGGAGCTGGCAGCCCGTGCCGCGATTACCGTGACGGGGCTTGATCTGCCTTTACCTACCTGCCTAGCGTTTGGGAAACCTAGTGAACCTTGGCGAAGTGCCAGCGCACACGCAGCCGTCGGTGGGTAGACATGCAGGCAGGCGCACGCACACACACACAAAGAACGCATGTCCTACTGTAACTTTACTTGTGCTTTTCCCCACGCGGTTGCTGCTGCAGGGTTGGGACACTTTTTCCAAAAGCAATCTGCATGAAGACGTGAGAAATTACAAACAGCGATCCACAGTGATGCCCAGAGAGGTTGTGGAATCTCTCACTGGAGACATTCAGAACTGTCTGGATGCAATCCTGTGCCACGTGCTCTAGGATGACTCTGCTCAAGCAGGGAGGTTGGACCAGATGACCCACTGTTGTTCCTTCCATACTGACCAATTCTGTGATTCATCTTTAAAGAGGTAGTTTTACGGTACCCAAATGTTCTCATATTTTGGGTGAAATTCTTTCCTCATAGAGGAGGAGGATCCCTGCCTTCTCCAACCGAAAAGTACCAGCATGTTGCGCACTGTTTTCCTGAAAAGTTTGTTGCAGGCAAATTGCCACTTGAATTCATAGGAAGAGAATAAAACCAAGAGAGCTCTGAAACTTAATTCATTTCACAGATAGCAGAGCGTGGACTTGCCTTGAGGTCTGCCAAAGCCTAGGCTAATATTCCTGAATATTAAACCATACTTTCCACACATACCTTGGTTCATTGAAAACATAGAGGTTGTACAGTTAAACTGTTGTAACTGAAGGAAAGATATTAGCTCACCCAATTTCTTCTGGTTGTTTTAGGGAGAGACATGGCGCCTAACAGTTTTCAGAAGTTACAGGCAGTAGCAGTAAATCAATTTTGACAAAACAAGCCATGAAGTATGACTGAAAACAGATGGGCATCACAAAATCCCATAGTCTTCAAGTATCTCTCATATGTACAAAGCACATCTCCTGAACACCTTAGACTACCCAGTGTTACCTGTAACAGTGGCCCTTCTTTAGTCCCTTGCACGTTCACCAAGCTTATCAACATTAATTGTCTGTATTTAAATCTGCATTTTTTTCAGAAATGAAAGTGTCAATGCCTGTTACTTAGCAAATACTGAGATTTATATAAAATATCATTTTTCATTCCTTTTGCTGTCAAGTGAGGTGATACCTAGAACAGTAAAAAGAATTTACAGATCACAGCCTGATCTGGTATTTAGTTAACACATTACATAAGCTATTTTGTTTAAAAGACTGAAAACAGAGACATTGGTTTGAGGGCAAAGATAACCTTCATTTCAATAATGGCTATAGTTTAAGAAAAACCTACCAAACTTGCTTTAAGACACCAGAAACCTCCTCAGTTCTGAAGATAATTGCAAACTTCACAGACATTGTAGGCTGAACACATTATCTTCAAAACAGCAAGGTATTTTTAAACTATGTCTCAGGCCACAACCTCCAAAACAACTACACTACTTCTAATTATTAAAATCAGTTCTAATTAAATGGAAGCTTCTACTGAAATGCTAAGTAGCAAGATAGATGTGACTACAATTTAATTATTTTTATTAGTGTCTGAAATAAAACTGGCTCCAGAGATACAGGCTCCTCATATGGGCTTTTCCCAGTATTAAATCCAAACCACTTATGTCTGCCTAGAGAGGCAGCTTCAAAGTCCAATCTGCTAGAGCAGATTGCTATCCTAGGCAGGAAGAGGTAATGGAAGCAGTCAGGAGTAGTGTAGGTTAATGATTCAGGTCAGAAAGTGTTTTGACATCTGAGTAGGATCAGTCTTGAATCCTGTGTGGCACAAACCACAACGTAAATTAAAACTTTGGAGTTAAAAACGTAATTCAATCCTTTGGCAGAGAGCTAGAACACAAAAATAGAAACTAGGCAAGCTAGTGCTGGTATCAGCTCAGAGCACTGGGAGTAAATACCAGGTATTGTAGTTTTCACCTCACCAAAGTCCCATCCTGACCAGAAGGGTCAAAAATAGCAGCTCCTATGAGATCAGAGGACAGCAGTGCTGGAAGCTTTGCCATGCAGAGCTTTAGAAAAGTTCACATTGTGCATTGACAGGAAGTATAGAAAATTGATAAGAATGTATAAACCAGAAATTTTTGCTTTGGGCAAGGGATTATTATGCTTTTGCAGTTGGAAAGAATGAAGAGAAACAGTACAGGTCACATAAGAGTTTTGTTTCTACTGAATTAAGATTTCTCCTATTTTAATATTTTGCTATCAGCAATTATGATTTAATGTTTTTATTACATCAAAACCCATGAATTCATCATATCAATATTCATAGTCACCTATTATGAAATAGAGGCTTTCAAACCCATGACTTCCAGGAATGCTTCTGGCTTCTACCACTTGTCAGAGATTTTGACCCTTCCATTGCCACAAATCCCTGGGGATAAACATGAATTTGCATAATTAATACAGAAGCAGAGAGAGCTGTATTTACTATGTTGCATAACTGGAAAAACAAGAGAGATTTAAAAAAAACACAAAAAAACACAGAAAAAGTGTAAATAAAGTTTCAGAGTTTTCAGCGAACTTTTATTAGGCTCATGGTGACTTCATGTTGTGCTGGACAGCAAACCTTGATTGACTACTGCTGGAAAAGGATCAGCTCACTCAAGGAGAGCAAGTGTACGCGAGTTCTCTGTCTGGTACTATACCTGACAAACTGACGTCATTACTAAAGACAAATAATACTGACTACATAGCAACCTGGCAACTGTTTCTAGAGGCAGCTGCAATGTCTGGTGCAGCAAACTAGTGAGACAAGCAAATTTTGCTGAAACCTAAAATACAGGTAAGTTCAAACAGGAGTTTGAGGTTAATTTGTTTGCCAGAGATCGCAGTTCTGAACTGTGAAAAGTAGTTCTTCGGAAGCCTAAATGAAGAGAGAAAAAAATATTGAGTTTTATGAGTAAACAGTAACGTTCTCTAGCAAATAGCTGGCCTATTGATTTCAGGCTTTTATGTCAGACAAGAACACAAATATGTAAAATATTAACTAACAGCAAAAGGATGAAACAGTTTATATCAGAACTCACAATAATTTTAAACAAAAATATTTTACTTTATATCAAAATATTGTTAAATATACATACAAAAGAATTATTTGTATGTATAAAATATTTTTTGTAAATGCATTTTTAAATTGTAAGCAAAACCCTTGAAACTTCTGAAATATTAAAATTAAAAAAAATACTTCTCCTCTCGGTGACTTCAATCCATTGTCTCTACTGACTTCAGATCCAACATGGAACTATATATAAAGAAGGCACTACAGATTCTTACAGGAAGAGTGCTATACCACAGCACCAGTGATGAGATGAAGAATCCTTCATGTTTCTGATTTTACAGAAAAAAAAAGGTTAAGTATTAATCCACTGGAAAAAAATATGCCAATCTCAATTGCAAACTGCCTGATCAATTTTGTTTTAAATTATTATTTTTTACATAATTCATATTGTCAAAGCAAATATATAAAATTAAGTACTTAACATAAAAGGTATTTTATGTCACCTGCTTATAGGCCTTCAATACATAAACTGTTCTAAGTTCTTTTTGCTATTTTTCAGGACAAATAACAGATTCCTAATTGCTAACCTCACAAATCCAAACACTTTTGAATTTATAATTTTACCCAGCATTTCTCAGGGATTAGCTTTAGAGTTTTAAATTTAAAAAAAAGGAACAGATAGCATTTTAATGCTGAATATTCAGATTGCATGCAATTGTTCAATCAAACCAAAATCACAAGCAAAGGATGACTGAAGAATTAGACAAACAGTTGGGAAAGTATGTGAAAAATAACACAGATTAATGTATTACCTTCCATTATTCTGAAGTGACAAAGTCTGTACAAAGAACATACTTTCATTGTGCAATTACTTGTGCAATATTGCAGTAGTTAAGGTAAACTTGTGCTATTTGTTTTGTAGAAAACTTCCATTTGAGGATTCGTGAGTTTTTTCATAATTATAAAGCAACAGGAGTCAGGAATTTCTACAGATCTTCTGTGTTCCAGAACTCACATGACACATCTCAGAATAAAAAAGAAAGTTACACAATATTTTTCCCCCCAGTTCAACCTAAAGCATCCTGCCTAATTCCTGTATGTGAAAAATATCTTCTAGTTCAGAAGCTGCAAATCAGCTGCCTATGCACAGGGACTGAAACAAGAAACTGGGGGAAAAATCCCAGGAGTTTTAGAACAATTATATTATTTTAGTTTTATTTTCTCACATTTCTCTAGGTCCTGAGAGCAAGCTAACTGAGCTGGACTAGACATCCTCCAAAGGTCCCTTCCAATGTGTTACTCTATAATCTGCACCATACCAATAACTGGTATGACTGGTTATATTTAAAGATTTCTTGCAGAGATGTTTCTGGGCTCATTTTTGAATCTGAAACTTCCGCTACTTTTGGAAATGTCATACCCACACACTGTTACGCAGAAATTGATGTTTCCCCCAAAACCGTTTTTGCCTTACTTTGGAATACACTGGAAATAAACACTGGAAAAAAACTGTACTCAAATTAACTTTATTGGCTCAAAACAGTTTACAATCTACACCAAGATCAGTGTAGATAATGAAATCCATATGCCAGGAGTTCTCTGTATGTAGTACAAACTGATGGGTACCATTTTAAGTGTATCACATGTTTCCAAAATTCAAAATCTCATGACAAGGAATGCAAACATGAAACAACATGCAATGTTTTAAAAAGTCACAAGTCTTCATTACCTTACAAAAAATTCACAAACTATACTGAAACATCCAAAATCTATTATTAATATTCCAAGTGTAAAGAACAGTCCAAACATTTTAGAACCATTTCAAATGCTGGTAACACTTTGTATACTTTCTTGTATTTCAGAACCAGATCCTAAAGTGTCACTTCCAGAGCTGTTTACTGCTTGTAGTGTACTTTGGTTTCCTCTCGCTCCAGTAGCTGGAGCTGCCATTTCATTTGCTCTAGGGATGTACTTCTTACAGGAAGAATTTTTGCTTTTTTCAATAGACATACCACTGGATACTCTGCTGTCATCATTTTTAATATGTACACAGGAATCAGTAAATGAATGCAACTGCCTTGCTGAGTGACCTTTTGCTTGTTCATTTTGTTTGACTCTCCTCTCAGAGAATATTGGTGTACTACTGCGAGGCTTATCCTCTTTATTTTGGTCAATTCTTTGAGCTTCATTTTCCTTCCATGAGCCTAGCTGGTACTGCTGTCCCACAGTCTGAAGTTCTTGTATTTCTCTAAGTGCAGAAAAGGCATTATTCATAACCATCTGGGACTGAAACGTGCCAGGAAGAGACAGTTGGATGTCCCCTATTCTGTTCTGAAACAAGAGATTCCAATGAAGATACTGATGCAAATAGAGAGGAAAAAAGCCAGTATTGCAACTGCCATATATACACAGAGTAGACACATTACAGTTTCCCATCTAGCTTTAAATCTATACTACAAAGATGTGTCAGTTACACTGAAGCAGCCAAAGCCTAATCATGTCTATCATTCCAAAATACCTGCAATTCATTATGTTTGCTTGCAGTTCACAAAGGTGTAGTCCCAAAAGTCTATCCCACAATAACTCGCCATTACAAGAATCTAAACTAATCACCAGGACTAGGAGATAAGAACAAGAGTCTTCAAACTGGAAAACTGGAAATTGTTTTCCACACTTTTAAAATTTTTTATTTTTTTTTAAGCCCAAAATTTTTAACATGTTTTAGAAGCTCATGGCGTTCTTGAGGAATGTGGAACAGTTAAAGGAACACATTGGAATGCAGAGTGATTCTCAGATATGACAGTTTTATTCAACTTGGACAAGGCTATAGGCTGCCAGTATCTTCATTTTTAGTAGCCTTAAAACCTTAAGCCTGGGCTTTTTTTGTTGTTCTTTTGGGTTTGATTTTCTTTGTTTGTTTTGGGTTTGGGTTTTTTTGTTTGTTTTGCTACAGGAACTTGAGTATCTCCTTTGAAAAAACCATAGGATTTTCTACTAATTGACAGAGTAGAAATGAAAACCTTATGAACTATCTACAAATACTGAAAATTTGTAATTGCCTCAAATACATGTCATGGCCACACAGAAATCCATCAGGACTGGACATATACACCGTAATTACTTAGAGGATAATTTGTGAGTTTCAGCAGGTACATTGTACTAGCCTCTACTATGAGACTAGTTTTTAAAACCACTATATATCATTATTAAATGTTTCTAAAAAATGTAGTCATGGTATTTTCTATTTTTAATGAATGTATACCACTATTGGAACTTCTTATTTCAGAGTAAGAAACAACATAATTACCACCAATACTTTTAATACATTACAAAATACTATGTTTTATGTTCCAAATGGTAAACACTTTAAAAGCTTACATTACTCACTGAAATATTACCATCTGTATAAATGCAGCTGCAGTAAAAGGCTGAAGTAATACTTCACGAATCAGAGGGGGATAACAGCTTGAAAGTACATTAAAAAGTATCCATTAGACTTGTCTCTAGCATTCTCTCTGTAGACTTACTTTGCTGTTCTGGGTATGTTCCTGTCTTTCTTCTTCAAAAGACTTTTCCTTTACCATGTTAGCAGGCTTACTGAGAGTAGAATTCATTTGCGGACACCCCAAAAGGCCAAAATCTGACTGGTCTATCCCAGCTAATAAAGCAAGTTGTCCAAGTCTGTAAAATAAAGTTCAGTAGAAAATGACACAAACAATTCTTAGCTTTTGAAAGACCTAAACAATCAAAAGCAGAAAAAGAAGTAGAATCTGTTTAAAGCTCTGAAGATAGTTTTCCACTATTTTATGATAAGCCCAATATCTTAACCAAGATGAAACCAAGTAGCTAGAGGTATTTTCTTATCTTTGCACGAATTAGCCTGCAGGTTCAAAACTCAAGTGTTATGAGGCTGAAAATGAAGTTCTCCTAGTTAGCACTGCACTCAGAGCAGGATGCTGACAGGCAGATTCCATGTCAGACAGAACAAAGATCAAAACTCTGTCATTAAAGCAGAAGATTGGCGCACAACTCCAATCTAGCATAATATGTAATGAATGCCATGACATGCTTCACAAATACAGTGATGTGTCACTTGCCAGTTTACAAGTTGGTCAAACCAACTACTTGTGTGTTTTAAGCCTCAGTAAGAAGTCAGAAGTTGCAGCCATCAGATATGATATACAGAAGCTTATGAGAAGAACACTCTTTGTGATTAGGACTCTGTAACTTTCAGAGCAGCTCCCTAGTACTACGAATAGTCATAGGGCCTGTATGGTAAAATATTTTTCATGTAGTGAAAATGCCTTTGTCCCTTCCTCAAAAGTTTTGAATTAATTCTTGAAGTAATGCCAGCTCCGCACATTGATTGTCACAAAATCAGAACACAGCCTTGGGGTGAACTTTACAGTAAATTAGAATCATAGATTCATGGAATCATTAAGATTGAAAAACACCTCCAATATCATGAAGTCCAGCCGTTAATCTAACACTGCCAGGTCCATCACTAAACAAAGTTTTAGATGTTTAGTTTCTAGATGTTTTCTGAACACTTCCAGAGATGGTGATTCCACTACATCCCTGGGCAGTCTGTTCCAATGTCTGACCATCCTTTCAGTGAAGAAATTTTTCTTAATATCCAGTCTAAACCTGGGACAACTTGAGGCCATTGTTACTTGTTCTGAGTTACATCATTACAGTTTGCAAGTGGGAGGCAAATAATATCTTTTTTGATCTTCTCTGAATATGCAGAGTAGACTACAATATATATTCATAGCATTCCTTTATTCTTGTGGATGGGATTGCTATGGCTGGCTACATAAGCTTTACGAATCAGGTTTAAGCTGACATTCTTTGACAAATGGGAAGGATGAACCACCCTATGAGAAACTGCAGGTACAGTGGTAAGACAAACTTAAATCAATACTCTCTAAAATAATTCAAATAATAATAAATAACCCAGAATTTAAATACAGAGACCAGATTCATTTATCTAGATTTCCGTACTTCAATTAGAAAATGGAGAGCACAAGGCAATAGGACACTTTCTGAAGCCAATTCAACTGCATTTTGAGCCTTTCATCTCATGGGAATGCTAAGAGCCACATGTGATTCAATAAAGACTTGGAAACGTTATAATAGAAGCTTTCTGCTCTTTCGGAATGGGCTTCTTGAAAGCCTTTCCCAAGGACAGATACATGAACGTGCTTGGATCACATTTTTCCCACTTGGAAAAGACTAAACAGTAGGTACATGGCTAATTTATTTTCCTTTGCTCTTTGGAATTACAGTTCTATAAATCTGGGGGGTAGAAGGCAGCATACTTCATTGTGAAAATAATTTTGGAAAAAGATCTAAGGAGAAACAGGAAGACTTAAGTAAAGTGACAACCTACCCAGCATCTTTAAGGAGGTCTAAAAAAGCATGAAACTTTTGAAAAGAGTTCTCAATGCTGCCTAGAACACCTTCATCTTCCAAAATCGTGCTGGTTACTGACTGTGCATGAAGAACCTCGGATAGGGAGATATTTAGATTCCTTAATCTTGCATTTTCAATTTCCAGCTATGTGGAGTGGGGGGGAAAAAAAGAAATTTTTTTCATTTTCAGTTAAAAAACCCCAAAATATCAAACCTCACGAGCCTAAAGAGCAGCATCACAAAGTAAAATACCCATAGTAACTGATGTAACAGATACAGAGTTTGCTGTACCAGACACATTGAGGGCACTGTTATATTGAGCTCTGTGCAGATCTGTTTATCCACAGCTGTAATTCTATGTTACCATAGTGATATTGCTGCAGGCACTCAAAACTGCTGACTCAGGACTGTCTTCAGTATGTACAGAATGTTACAGAGCAAGTATAAGCAGAAAAAAATTAGCTTTCAACATAGTAGTGAGTATGTTATATGACACATTAACACCAAAGAATTTGTTTTACTAGTAAAAAAAACATAATGAAGGCCAATGTTCTCCTTATAGTCACCCCTCTGTATCAGAGGGAATGCATACTACTGTTACGTCTCCCCTGCACTGTGCATCTGAAAATTGAAAGTTAAAGATAATTCAATTTTTCTCCACCCTGAACATTAATCAAATTGATGACAGACTAAAAGTTGAATGATAACTGCAGGATATACAAAGTTTTGTGTTTGAGGGAAGCATTAACTCAGACACTCATTTAAGATTACAGCTATGCAATCAAATGTTACCACAGGCTTTCCTTCTTTCATTTATTATGAGAGGGCAAAAAAATTATACATTCTGTAGTATGCTGCAGATGTTAAATGAGCATCAAAATGAACAATTTTAAAGATTGGTTTATCCACTGTCCTGAAGCAAGGTGCTACATCCAACCAGTCTAGGATGACAGAGAAAGATTTCTTGCAGGGGGTGTTTAGCCTAAAAAGCATTTAGGTATTCAAACAACAGATACCCAGAAGAGCACACTGGTGCAAATCACATTACAGGAGGATGCGGATGATTGCACAAGATCTCTACAATGAACCTTGTGGAGTGCAGTCCTTTGTGGATATCTGCTCCCTGTACTGTGGGGTACCATTTGGTGCTCAAATTTCAACAGGTATCATCACTTCAGTCCCCTCCACTCACATCTAAGAACTAAATCCATTTGCTTACACTATCTTACATGCAACTCTATTAGAAGAAATTCTGCTTATTGATGCAAAAGAATATTTTTAGGTCAGCAACAGCAGACAGGAGAAAGAAGACTTCACAATTTAACTGTGATAAGTTGTTCAGTTTTGTAAAACTAAGCTGCACTTCGCAACAACTGGCATGGAGATGACCATCCAACATGGTTATTGCCTGTGGAAACAAAGCTTAAAAATCAAAGGTACAGAATAAGCCAAAATAAACAATAATTGCAACAAAGAGGTTCTCAGCACAAGTCATGATAAATGAGTTGGGAGACAAAGAACTATCCATGTGTGCAAACTGCAAACAGATTTAATCACTTTCTCAAGAAAAATAAGTATCAGGATGCCCCAGATCATAAAACAGCAAATGAACAAAGCCCATTGAAAGAGTAGCTTGATCTGGAGTTCAAGGCTCTGGAACAGGATCAGGAGATTAATAAACAGAGATTTCATCATTGCCCTTAGACTAGTAAATGATCCACGTGACTTTGAACTGAAACTCTGGAAGCCACCACATTAGTGGTCATAGATAATTACTCCTAATTAAGCACATGGACACTTTGATCAGTGCCTCCTTTAAAGATTATTAACAGTTACGTATCTTACCTCCGTTACCCGTTCCTCAGCCTTCTCTCTAGCTCTTTGTTCTTCCTTTAGTTTTAACATGCATTCTTCCAGCTCCAACTATCAAACACAGATAAACGATCAAGAAATTTACCTCAAAATGTCAGATTAACATGCAATATACAAAAACTCAACACATCCAATTAACAACTAGCACATGGCATTCCAAACAAAAACTTATCTGCTACGAAAATACATGACAGATGTCTACCAGTACATAACTCTAGGATGCAAAAAATTAAGAAGAAATTAAGAAGAAATCTGTTTAACAGATTTGTAATATTGCAACAGATAACATGAAATTGCAGCACAAGTCTCTAGATTATCAGCCTGTATTCTTTATCCAGGATTTTATTCCTTCTTACAGCAATAAGAATAGAAAATTCTGAGCTGCAAGAACTGTACTCTTTCCATCTGGTTTCACTTATTTCTTCAGTAGAAAAGTAAGATTTTCACAATCCCAAGTTTAGTGTTGAATTAACAGAAACACATCCAAACCTCTAATAAACATATTCTGTTCTTATTCATGAGATGCCTACATGTGTATTTTAACTATTAGTTTTAAGAGGTGAATCTCAGTTTCAGTAACAGTAGTCAGAATTTGACAAGCAATACTACATTTTCTTGTATCCCAGCAGAGCATTATCATCTTTAATTCTGACGTGGAAGAACAAACCAGAATTTTTGTTCACCTTAACAGAGCCTTCTGGTTTGAAAGGTGAAAACTGTTAAAACTATCAAGCTAATCTATTTTTCAGAGGGTAGACTATATGAAATAATAGTATACAAAACTTCTTCATTTCTCTACACACTTGATATACGAGCACCTATATGTAAAAAGACACAGCTTTTTATACACATTTTATCAACCAGTTCTACAGAGAAGCAGAGATCCGAATAGTACTGAAATCCTTTGTTTCCTATAAAAGTATATTCAAGAGCGTACTATTGTACTTCATATAGGCAATCATCTGAGAAGACTGGTGTGCAAAAGAATGCACAGTAAAACTAATCCTTCTCCAAATGCAAAGAGGTCCTCACAGGTCTTAAAAGATGCAAGGGATTTTTGCATCTGATTCAAAGATGCAGGTTTTAGAATAATCTAGATATAGGCCTCACAGTGACAACCACTCTTAAGTGATGGTTATGAGTCTGTCACTACTGCCCAGTGAAGCCCACTCCTATGATCCCTAGAGTAGCATCAACCAAGCTAACCCTGGAACTAGAAAGCTAGTCTTATCTTTATCATCGGAACACATGAGCATCACCTGTAGAAGTCAGAAGGTGTAAGAAAAACATATTTCAAGACACTATTTAACAGTATCTAACCCACAGGCATAGAGTTGGGGGCAATTCTCTAAGGAGAACCATCCAAAAGTACCACAGTCTTACTGCAATCAACGTTAGAACATGTGGAAGTAATGTCTCTTACAGACACACAAGCACTGTACAGGAAATAGTGACCATAATTTTCTGCATTCACAACTTGACATGTAACTTGGAATCCCATAACCTAGCTCTGAAGACCACAGACCTGAAGAATGCTTACATTTCCATTTATAATGTGTGTGCATACATATATGTATGTATTTTACAGTTTCTGAGATGTAGGGGGTTTTTGGCAAGGAACTCTACTTTAGAAACCTTAGTTCTATAGTATTTTTGTTGTGAACAGATTTTAGATCATTTTAAAGGTGACAGCAATGACCTTTTTTCTCAAATTGCAGGTTTGTAATGTCAAAGGGCAATGGTTTAGAAAGTAGTTAAATTACCACGGTTTTTTAAACAGAAATGTGGAATTTTTCTTGTTTTGTTTAAACTTGATTTATCACACTGTAAATGTACACAATATTTGATCACAGAATCAGAGAATCACAGAACATGCCGAATTGGAAGGGACCCACAAGGATCATTGTCCTGGGTTAAGCAGCCCCCCTCGGGTGGGGCCCTGAGTTAGAAATGGTCAGTTCCAGTTGAGATTCCGGCCAGCAGGACCAATAGCAGCTGTTCTTTTTTGCTCCTGTGGAATTTGATATTACAACAGCCAGAAGTCAGTTGGCAGAGGCAGTCTGCTGCTGTGTCTGAGTGAGTGTGTGAGAGAGAATAGCCAAGGGGTGGACGGAGGCCTCCTCCCAACTCGGGGGGGGGGGGGGCTGTGCCCCCACAGCTCTGGCCAAGCTAGGGCTGAAGGCAGGATGTAAGAGAGAGTGTCTGTTGTGAGGTAAGGGACTCACAGCAGCTGAAGGTAAGCAGGAGAGAGAGGCAAGCTCCTCCTGACGAGGCCAGGCCCTCCCCTCCTTTCTAGGCACACTCAGAGAGAGTTTATAACTGCACCGAACACTTGTAGCAAAAAGCTGAGTGGGGGCTTTTTTCCCTTTCACTGTAAGTGGGAGGCAAGGCAAGGCTTAGTATTTTGAAGCTGAGCCAAAGAGGACGGGCTGAATGAAGCTCGGCGCCAGGGAGAAAAAACCCCAGGCGAAATTGGAGACAGACAGAGGCAGATTCAGCAGTGCCTACATTGGATTTAGATGTGGCTACCGAAATGGAAAACTACAGCAGCTGCGGAACCGAGGGAGAGAGAGAGAGAGAGAGAGAATCACACAGCAGAGATTGGCACAGAACTAAGGAGCACAGACTCAAACTATTTTCTTGGACTTCGTAAGGAAGAAAAGACTTCAGTAAACAGCTGGAGGTTGGTGGGGAGTGGATCAGAGAAAAACCCTTTTCCCTGAACACTCCAATGAGAGAAAGACTGTTTACCTATCAGCCTGAGGGCTTCTCCTGGACTGAATTAAGGGAGGGGCTTAGCGGGATGATAGAAGTGTGTAATATTGTATACATATAGTTGCTTTTAGCTTGTATAGTATTTATCTGTATAGAATAAACCTTGTAAGTATTTTCCCTTCCCCCTATAGAGGTGTGCCTGCCTGAAAGTTACTCTTTGGTGTTGAGGTAAAATTGTGGGAAGGTGGGGGAAGCTTGGATTTTTGTGGGGGTCAAACCACCACAATCATCAAGTCCAACTCCTGGCCCAGCACAGGAACATCCCCAAGAGTCACACTATGTGCCTGAGAGTATCATCCAAATGCTGCTTGAACTCTTATCAGGCTTGGTGCTGTGACCACTTCTGTGGGGAGCCTGTTCCAGTGTCCAACCACTCTCTGGGTGAAGAACCTCTTTTTAACATCTGACCTAAACCTCCCTTGACTACATTTCAGGCCACTCCCTCAGGACCAATGACCACAGAGAAGAGATCAGTGCCTGCCCCTCCTCTTCCCCTCATGAGGAAGTTTTGACTCAGCCTCCTCTTGTCCAGGTTGAACACACGGCTTCCCCTCAAGGCCCTTCACCATCTTCGTTGCCCTCCTTTGGACATTCTCTAAGAGCTTAATATCTTTCTTATATTGTGGTGCCCAAAACTGCACACAATATTCAAGGTGAGGCCGCCCCAGTGCAGAGCAGAGTGGGACAATCCCCTCCCTCGACCGGCTGGCGACGCTTTGCCTGATGCCCCCCAGGAAATGGTTGGCCCTCCTGGCTGCCAGGGCACTGCTGACTCATATTCAACTTGCCATCAACCAGGACCCCCACGTCCCTTTCTGTGGCACTGCTTTTCAGCACCTCATTCCCCAGTACATCCAGGGTACAACCAGGGTTGCCCCATCCCAGGTGCAGAATCCAGCACTTCCCCTTGTTGAACTTCATCTGCTTGGTGATTGCCCAGTCCTCTAATTTTTTGAGGTCTCTCTGCAGGGCCTCCCTGCCTTCCAGGGAGTCAACAGCTCCTCTGAGTGTTTTGTCATCTGCAAACTTGCTTAGTATCCCTTCCAGTCCTGTGTCCAAGTCATTTATGAAGATGTTGAAGAGCACAGGGCCCAAGATGGAGCTGAAATCCAAAAAGATTACATCAACTGGCTTCCCTTAATCAACTTAGGTGGATTATGTAAGAAGAAATCAGGTTGGATAAGCAGGACTTTCCTCTCATGAGGCTGTGCTGGCTGTGACCAATGCTTGTGTTGTCTTTCAGGTGTTTCTCAATATTTCCCAGAATAACCTTCTCCATAACTTTACCAGGCACTGAAGTGACAGGCCTGTAGTTTCCGTCATCCTACTTGCCTTTCTTGAAAATTGGGACAACATTTGCCAGCTTCCAGTCAGCTGCAACCCCTCTGGATGGTAATGGACTGACTTCAAAAACAAACTGAACGCTGCAGCTGCATCTCCTCATAAGCAGTATCAGAGTTAGCATTTAAAGGAAGATGCCTTACACCTTACAATATGTGTTAACATATTTGTCAACATTAAATTACAAGTATATGCACACTTTATTCTTTCATTTGCTTTTAAGAAATTCACTAGTTGACACAATGCCCTAGGTCTTTTTCCAGAAAAAAAAATTTAAAATGCATCAGAGAGAGCTAAATGTACATCCAAGCTACAAGACTAAGCCTTCAATAAGTATAGCCCAGAAAGACAGCACTGACAGCCTTTAAGATGAAATCGCATACCAAAAATATATATAGCCCTCAGAATTAATGTATGCAGTATGACTATTCAACACTAGACAGAGTTATAAAACTCAAGTTAAAAAATTAAAATATATTTAAAAAAATTTAGGAACTAATTAGCCATGTTTCTCTCCATGAATACATTGCTGTCCTTATTTTAAAAAAAGTTGTAATGCAATCTCTACTTCTTTGTAATGCACAAAGTAGTAATATGTGGAAAGAGCTGACCTGGTAACTAGACTAAGGGTGAAGTTCACCATTTAAATCATTAGTTAAAATTTAAAAATATGAGAGTTACCTCAAGTACATTCTTCATCAGAACCCACTCTGACATTCGATTCCCTCTAGTGGAAGGAATGAGTATCTATCAGTTCTTATTTTTCATTTAAGCAGAAATAAAGCCTTTCATTACCCAAGACATTTTTTTTTTACAGAAAACACAACTAAGTACTACTTGTTTCACTAAGTACCATGCTTAGAGCCCCTTTCTGAGCAGAAGGATGCAGAGAAGTTCTCATAGACTTGCATACTAAAGTGAAAGTCTGGTCATTTAGTCACATCATAAAATGTTTGGAGAGCTTTCATGGCAAAGTGGCAGTTTAAGGAGTTCCCATCTCTCACTGTTTATTCCAATTCTGCATTCTCATCATTGTTCTAGCTAGCACAGCTGTTGTCTCACTTGACTGAGAGGCCTGCTACAATCAAATACACTGGATTACTTTTCAGTTAGGTAAGTTGCTCAAGACAACTCCTCCCTCAAGCTGCTGTGCATTAAAAGCTGTTTAATGACAGTACCTAAGCCAAATTAATACAGATAAAAAGAGTCCTCCACTTCCTCTCTCGCCTTATGAGCCACAGACTTCTGCCACTTACCATACTCGGGGGTTCTGAAACACCCCCAATCACATAAACTAATGTGAGTCATTAAGATAGCTGAACACTATCCTGGAAAAATATCACAGACTGGTTGAGATTGGAAGGGATCTCTGGAAGTCATCTGGTACAACCCTCTGCTCAAGCAGGGTCACTTACAACAATGTTCAGATGTTGTTTAATATCTTTTAAGGGGAGACGCCACCACTGCCCTGCGCAACCCATGCCAGTGCTCAGTTAATCTTACAGTGAAAGAGTGTTTCCTGATGTTCAGAATGAAACTCCTATGTTTCAGCTTCTGCCCATTGTGTAACGTCCTGTCACTAGGCACCAGAGAAAAGAGGTGGTCTCCATCCTATTTGCACCCTCTTCTTTGGGCATTTATCCCTTCCCAAGCCTTCTCTCCTTCAGGCTGAACAGTCCCAGCTCTCTCAGCCTTTTCTCACAGGAGAGGTGCTCCAGTCCCTTAACCATCCTTGTGGCTCTTTGTTGGACTCTTTCCAGTCTGCCCACATTTCTCTTGTACTGGAGAGTCCAGAGTTGGACACAGTATTCTAACTGTGGCCTCACAAGCACAGAGGAAGGATCGCCTCCCTCAGCCTGCTCATAACATTCCTCCTAACATAGTCCAGCATGCTATTCACCTCCTTTGCTGCAAGGGTACACTGGTGGCTCACGTTCAACTTTGGTGTCCACCAGAGCCCCCAGGGCCTTTTTTTGCAGCACTGTTTTCCAGATGATCTGCCCTCAGCAGATAGTGGTGCTTGGGGTTGTTCTTCCCTGGTGCAGGACTTTGCACTTCTCCTTGTTCAACTACATGGGTTTTCTCCATATCAGCAAGTTGAATCAACTTAGAAAAACATGAAAAAAGACATAAGAGAAAAAGACTGAAGCAAGAAATGAAAAAGCACTAAGAGACAGAGAAGAAATAGACATCCCCATTCAATGGACAAGTTGGTAGTTCAGTTCTGCCATAATGTGAAACCTGCTTTGTGTCAATATAATAACAAGGATGGGTAAGGCACAGGAACAGCTGCAGACTCCTTAAACAGTGCATCTGATATGCAACCATGGCATAAAAAAGTATTTTGGTTTTCAAATTCAGAAAGTCAGGAAAATCTGGAGTTTTACAAGCACAGAAAATTTAAAATCAATTTTGGGGTAGGTTGCTAAAATTGGTAGTTTTACCTCCAAGGAAGCTCAAATTAATCACAAATTATCCCTTCCTTACAGTTGCTCTACAGGTAACACTGATGTCATAGGTCAGTATGACAACCCTTCCCCAAAGCACAAGATATGTCTGACTCTGCCCTGTGTCCTGAAGATAATATTCCTCCCTCTCAAAACACCAAGAATAAATACATAAAGTGTTTCCTGAAAGCAATTTTCACATGAGATGGAATTCTATGATTCCATACACAATGCTTTTGATAAGTGCTGAAGCCACCAACACAGCACAATGTTGATAAATTACAAACGAACAGTAACAAACTCACCCCCAAAGAAAGTCCCTATACAACTTTAAGTCTCAGCAACATGTGAAAACCTTGAAACCTTCCTGAACAAAAGTTCTAGAGAGAAAAAAGGTAGGTCTAAAGAAAAAGTTTACACAGGTTTAAAAAACAAACAAAACAAACAAACAAACAAACAAATAAAAAATCCCCAAGAAAGTCTAATAGTATTGCAATATTTGTACAGTCCTTTTGCTCTAAGCCACCCTAAACTCAATTATAAAATGAAGCTCTAACGCTCTTTCAGCTATTTTTGTAATTATTTTTACACAACAATCATTACCATATTTTAGCTCTTTGAAATAACATTAAAATACTTTTATGAAAGAAATATTTGGAAGAAAATACAACAGAAATAACATTAAATTACTTTAACAAAGGAAATACTTGGATGAAAATACAACAAGCAATAACACTGATCGAAAGATTTGCAAACTATGGTTCAAGACTGGAAGAGAGAAATTGCATATATTGCAGTTGTGTGTACTAAGTTAAGTTCTTTCTTATTAAGGCACTGATTTGACAATATGCTTATAGCGTATGTATCTGTATTATAATATTAAGAAATTGAACATCCAGTGCAATATTTGACATACATCTTTTGAAATGAAACCCTGTGTGACATAATGCAGGATAATTAAGAGCTATTCTGAAATCCTGCTCCATGGCTACTTATTTGTTTAACAACAGTTTTCTGAATAAAACATGGTTTAATTGATATAAGTTGCCTTTATGGAGTCTAAGGCACAGAACATGCTTCTTACCTCTAATTGTTGATACTCTGTTACATTAATCTTATCAATTGATTTTGCCAGACCAGGATAGTGGATGACATCATCTAAATCTTCTGTGTCTTCAGTATCAAATGTAGAAGCACTTTCTACTGTCACTTTCACAGGAACACCTGTCTAATTACACCAGAAAACCACACCAACTTACAGCATTACAATGCGCAGCAAAAATCAAAGATTAAATTGTATCAAAAGCTTAATTTAAATGTAGTTGTTTCCTAGAGTCCCTGACAATGTATATACATTGTCCAGCTATATAATTTTGAAATAAATTTGCATAAAACAATATTAAAAAAAATCAATCCTATGTGTGCATATATTGGGTACATGTGGTGAGGATTTAGCAGGGTCCCTGTGAGGCACAGCTAGGGCTACCCCATGTCAGACAGCTGGTCCCACCTGATCCATTGCAGGGCAGAGCTGGGCTCAGCAGTGAAGCTGGTGGAGCATCGGGGTGAGATGGTTTAACAAAGGGCAAAAAATGCCAGACAGGAAGAAGAGGTGGGAACAAAGAGAGTAAGAAAAAACAGAGGGAACAGCAGACTAGGAGCAGGAAGAGGTGTTCCATGGTGGAGCCAATACCCTCACTCCGGCCAGGAAGACCCACGTCAGAGCAGATGGATGGATCAAAGGAGCTGCAGTGCATGGGAATCCTGTGGCAGTGCAGGTTTTCCCAAAGGGAAAGTCCATGGGAAGCCTACACCAGAGCAGGGTATAAGTGAGCAGCCATCACACCCTTCTGTGAGCCAGTTTAATTTATTAGTATATAAAAATGTACTTCTCCAGCTATTCTACAGTGGGCAAGGTAGGAGGGAAGATGGAAGTAAAATGCAAAGGAGATGGAAGAAAGTGGGGATTTTTCTTCTCCTGCTGGTATGTTTACTGGAGCAGTTCACAGAGCAGTTCAAACACAAGTACGTAATCCAAGTCCAAGACAGAAAAGATGGTGCAAAAGCCTTCAGATAAAAATGCTGTTAATCCTCTTATTGCCTCTGAAGGGATTGTGCCCATACTCCAACCCAGCTTGCTCATATGACTAGGAAACCAAAAGATACAGATACAGAAATGGAAGTAAACTAACTAGCAAAGAAGTTTCAACCAAATGCTGATGTAAACTATTTTTTTGCACTTCCATGAGAGATTATCTTTAAAAGTATGTTCCAGTCTTAACTTTTAGACAATAAATTCTGTTGAGAAAGAACATTTTCATCTTTTTTTGGCATTCACCTAATAAAGAAACCACTATGAGAGAAAAAGTACCTGAATCTCCACTGGCAATTCTCCAGTACGATCCAGAGCCCCACCTCTACAGTTAGGAAAAAAAAACAACAAAACACTTCTGAGAAAGTAAGTTTGTAATGTCACCATTGCTACATTCATTTCCAAATACAGGATTCTAGGGCAGGTGAAGCACAAGAGTAAAAACAGCATTAGACACTGCACTGTATCCCTTTAACCCTCATTAGATCCTCACTTTGTTCTATTAGCACCCCCTACCTAATCATGACTTAGAGCAACATTACTGGATGCTAACATTAATATCTTCAGTAGGCATCTTGCTTAGTTAATTATTTTGAACTAAAGTCAAGAGGAGAATTTGGTGCTCAGCATTTTAAAAAATAAGTTTAATAACTACAGTTATGATAGAGCAATAAGGAATTTTTTTTGTTTAAATAGTTATACAGTCTCCATTTTGCAAGGCCAAGGTCAAGGGTATAGATTTAAAAAAAAACAAACAAACCCAAACAAAAGCTGTTTCAAAAGAGAGCTTCCATGCGTTACTTTTTTTAGTTTTATTTTAAGTCACTGGACTTAGATGATCACAATAATTATGCTTGTATTGGGGGAAATGAAGCAGAAAGAAGAGGTGGAAAAAATACCTAGGCATCAAATGCCAAATCAACTATACTACAAGTTTACAACACTAACTTGCACCTTCAGCTATGATACATCTGATAAATTATTATTAACAAAAGAACAAGCAGGCAAGGTAGGTTTGGTTCTGCTGGGGTTTTTTGCTACATCTGAATATTCCTATGGCCATCATTTATTTTTGTGTATTTTAAATACTTACTAGAACAGAATTTATGTAAAATCCCCAAAATTTATATAAACAGAAAAAAAAAGGATGCAATATGAAATTACATGTGTAACTTTCAAATAATATTTTAAAAAGACTAACACTGTTCTCTACTATATTTATCATGCTGGTTTTATGCTTTATTATTTTCCCTTGTACTATGAAAACCTCACCTGCATCTCTTTGCACGCTCTGCAGTCCGCCATGGAAGGAAGCCTTTTGTGCCTGGTGGTAGTGGTTTTGGTGAGTAACTCTCTTTCAAAGATGTAATTTTTTTCCCAGGACTTACCGATTTTTTAGACAATAGTCCTGTATTGAACAGCAAGATTAGAAGAAAAGAGTATTCGTTATACCTAATTATTTACATACAAATTCACAGCATACTGTTCCTAAGTAACACCTCCTGTGTAATAAAAGGGACTATTAATATAATAACTATTATTAATAGTAAGTAGGAAATCTGCCATTCAGCCTAGCTATGCTAAAGTGTCCAAAAACTTGCAATTTTAAGCCAATATACTTAACTGCTACGTTAGGTTGATGCAGCTAAGACAAGCTGTTATTCAAAAAGGAAGTAAAATTTTGTAGCTGAAGAGGTTCATGAACATTACTAATTTCAGATACCTAATTCCATTGGCTCACATGGGAGACAATCCATGTAGACAATAAAGCTATCTATGTGCTTCAAACTGCCCTCTAGTGGCTTTAGTGTGAAGAACGTTGGTTTATTTGTGGGCAAAATGGTTACAAATAAAGCTGGCACTCGTGGATTGCTTGTACTTGACACTGGCAATCTCTTCACTTAAGAGAACTAGTAATGAAAAAAGTCGTGTTCACCAGCCCAGTCTTTTGCTTTTGTTTAAATCATATACTATTAAAGTAGATTCAGAAAAGAAACCTAATGTGGATGAGCACTAACTCAGGCTGCTCTAAGTCAGAAATTAACAAGTCCAGAAAACTTAAATTTGTTCACCTAATATTTCATACAGTTAAACTAGCGAGAATTAGGGTTATTATTTCTCTGAGATCAATAAAACAACTGATTTTGTAATGGTATGGACATGTATAATTATGGTAATGAGATTCAAAATTTCAATTCCGTCTCAAAATAGTAAACAAGATAGTTTTCACCTCCTGACTCCCTCCCTCTCTTAAAAAAACCCCAAAACACACCAAAAAAAAACAAAAAGAAAGAGGAAGGGAAAAAAAAACAAACAAAAAACAAAAAACCCCACACCAAAAACCCCCCACACCACCACAACTATATATGTCAAGCATTTTCTTCCACCACCCTGATCACCACAGTTTATTTGTACAAAGACTTCAATTTGATTTATGCTTACCTCTCTGTTTCCAGATAACTAGAGCAAAGATGAGAAATAGTCAAATGTACTACATTGAAATTTTTAGTAGCTTACTGAAAAAGTGTATTGCAGCTATCAGTACTAAATTATAAATATTCAAAATACCTATCTTATTTTAAACATACTATTTATAATAGGTTTACATTGAGTTTAAAAAAAAATCTTAGAACATTTTGTACATCAGTAAAAAATGCATGTTTGTTTGTTTGTTCTGGCAAAGGACAGCTTGCTACAGAAAGGTTACAATAGCAGAAGAACTAGGCAACTTACTACAGCCAAGCTTCGCAGAAGTGAAATCTTGTGGAGAGGATGCACTCAGAATAAATATGTGCAATTCTTCCACATATTTAAGTCAGCATGTCCTACCGTTTTTCCAGCCGCTATCTAGCAGCACTAAAAACAAAAGCAAGTTTCCTATAGATACCAGTGATGATAGAAGATGCACTACTGAATTAATAATAAATTGAATTTTTTTGGAGACAAGTGTTCTGTAAAACACTAACATCGTATATTTTACAATTAAAGCTCTTAAGCATTAATTTTGTAGACTAAATTTACTGTAGTCAGAGAAAATAAAGACAGTATTACCGATACGAATAGTAGCTTTTCCTTTTCGACCACTTCCTAGGACAATAGTTCTTTTCTTTGGTCTATTTTTCAAAGCATCCTTGGAAGATGGAGATGTCAGCCACTTATACTGGAATTTTTTTTTAAAGAAAGATAAATCAGTTTAGTAACTGATAGCTAAAGAGGTACTTATTTAAAATAGGAGGGGGTTTTGTCATATATAGAGAACACTGGTACTTACAGAAAACTTAATAAACTGTAAAATCAGGAAAAAAAAACAGAAGTCCCACAAAGCCCAAATTCAAACATAGATTTGATGCAAGTCTGAGTGCTACATTATCAGAAAGTGTTCCCAAAACTATAATATCCCATCTGATATTTTCCTATCTCCTGTGCAAAACACTTCTTTTATAGCAAAAAACCCACAGCATCAACCCTATAAAGAGACAACTCTGGCTTCTGCATTTCATTCTCAGAAAACTGGCTTGATAGGAATGGCTGGCTCAGGCCAAAGTTCTCCAGAGTAATAAAAGCTTCCCTAACATGATTTTGCATTACCAATAATATCAGTATTTCAAAAAATACAAAGTTGTATTTTCACTGCCTTGTAAAGAAAATTCATCCTTACAAAGTAAAAGCCCCCAAACTAAAATTAAGAGACAGTGATGATCAAAGCCCAAGCTGTACTACAAACTTCATTTCCTTACAGCAATAGCTCTATTCTTACAGCTTCCCTTTGCCCTGATAAAGTTTCATTACTCCTGGTAGAGACATTTAAGTTACACTGCAATTGTTTTTCTATGTGCATCCCTAATACAGGGTCTACTGCTAAGCAGCTGTTGAAGGAAATACAGATGACATTAACACAAAGTTTTTCTCAGCTTTAAACACCACATCAGAGTAGGAGGAATTGTATGGCAAAATTATTCCCATCTAAAGCACAGGGAAGATTAAAATGCCATTACTGTGCTCTAACCAACCAAATTTAGCCCAAATTTATCATTGGCAAGAAAAACCTTTTTTTTCCACTTGGGACTCAAATAATTCTTCTGTAAGTTCTGCAGGGTCTACAGCTACATCTAGCTCCTCAAGATAATGAATTGTTCTTTTTAAACCAAAAACAGACAAAGAATAAAATGAAATTGTAAACGTCTAAGAGCATCTTAATTTTGTTTTACGAGATACATAAAAGGGCAGCTTTACTAGGTTAACCCTAAAGCTCATCTAGACCAGTAACCTGTCTCTTGTCTAAGTGCCTGCTGCTTTTGTTGCATCCAAGTATAAAGACAGCAAAACATTAACACTATGTTTTGAAAGCAGCTTGTTTTATAGACACCTTGTAGTGGGTTGACCCTGGCTGGACAGCAGGTACCCACTAAAGCCGCTCTCTCACTCTTCAACTGGACAGAGGAGAGAAAATATAACGAAGGATTCATGAATTGAGATAAGAACTGGGAGAAATCACCCACTGACCACCGTCACAGGCAAAACAGTTGGAAGTGGGGATATTAATTAAATTGATTACTAATGAAATCAGAGGAGATGAATAAGAAGTAAAATAAATCTTAAAAACACCTTCCCCCCATCCCTCCTTCCTTCTCAAGTTCTACCTCCTCCCTCTGCAGTGGCACAGGGAGATGGGGAATGGGAGTTACGGTCAGTTCATCACAGGTTGTTTTCTGCCACCGCTCAGGGAGGGGAGTCCTTCCCCTGCTCCCTGTGGGGCCCCTCCCATGGGAGACAGTCCTTCATGAACTTCTCCAGCCTGAGTCCGTCTCACAGGTAACAATTCTTCACAAACTGCTTCAATGTGGGTCATTTTTCCACAGGGTGTAGTCCTTCAGGCATAGGCTGCTCCAGTGTGGGTCCCCCACAGGGCCACCCACAAGTCCTACCAGGAAAACCTGCTCCAGCATAGACTCCTCTCCCCATGGGTCAGCAGGTCCCTGCCAGGACCCTGCTCCAGTACAGGCCCCCCACAGGGTCACAGGCTCCTTCAGGCACCCACCCACTCCAGTGTGGGTCTCCTCCACTGGCTGCTTGTGGATCTATGCATCCCTGTTCTTCACATCCATGGGCTGCAGGGGCACAGCGGCTTCACCATGGGCTGCACCACAGGCTGCAGGGGAACCTCAGCTCCGCTGCCTGGAGCACCTCCTCCCACTCCTTCTCCACTGACCTTGGTGTCTGCAGAGTTTTTCACGTGTTCTCACTCTGCTCTTCTCTGGACGCAATTTTCATCTGCCACACAACTTTTTTTCTCCTTCCTAAATATGTTATCACAGAGGCATTACTGTCATTCCTGATTGGCTCAGCCTTGGCCAGCAGCAGGTCCATCATGGAACCTAACTGGCATTGGCTCTACCAGACATGGGGGAAGCTTCTAGCAGCTTCTTACAGAAGCCACCCCTACCAAACCAAAACCTGGCAACTCAAACCTGATACACACTTTCAATGGCTTTTTCTTTAACGTATTCAGTCTCTCAGAAACTCCACAAACTTTCACCACCTATAACACTCAGTCATATCCACAATTACAATTCATTATACTGATACACAGTGCTGCTAAAATAATACAACTTTCTTTTGTTTTAGCTGCCCACCAAATTTAAAGGCATAAATTAGCAGCAGGGAACTAACGCTTCTTGCAAACCTGAAAACCCAACCCAAAAGGCAATCACCTACATGCTATTGAAAAACAAAGAGAAACAACGCAAAAGAGGATGGAAGGACTGCTGGGACTGGTGGAATAATACGCTACTTATCAAGTACTGACTGCTGGTCAGTACTTCTTCAGTCATGTTGTTAATGAAGTATGAAGAATTGCCAGTAAAACTTTAGACACTGCACTAAGTGGCAAAATATAAAACTAATGTCTTGAGTCAAGTTATCTCTTAGTATAAGGGAGATTCCCCAGAGTTGCTTCTTTTCATGGTTTGACTTTCCAAACAGATGCTATTTTCATGTGATCCCTGCAACATTTTGCAAGTATTGATTGCATCTGCCAGGGAGACAGAGCTTCACAACCAAGGTCAATTTCTCAAAAAAAGTCTTCTAGAGATTGAAGTGGGGAACTGTACTAATCCTCAAGGAATTTTACACACAAATTCTCAGATTATTAGATACTCCCTACAGATCCACAGCCCTGACTTTTAAGTCTTTTCAAACTGAAAAGAGTAATAAGTTCCAGAACAAGAACTGGGATAGCTGCGGTTCTGTGAAAGAAAGAACAACACTTATTTCTTTCCTGTCTCCTCTGGGAGCTGAATCAGGTTTTTTTGTATTTGAACAGTGTATCTAATAATAAATACTCCAGATACTCAGTTTATGCACATTACTGTGAACTCTCTGTGGACTGTTAGATAAAGATGAAAGGGTGTACTGCACTTTAACTGAACTCTGTTTTCTTAGACGGTTTGCATTGGAAAGGACAGTCTTGAGTAACTTAAAAAAAATCTTAATTATATAAATTAGTGACATGAAGTAAGTTTCAAAATAAATTAAGTTTTGAATTTTAAATTGCAGTTTCCTTTACTTTTAATGAAAATTTATTATTACCATGTTAATAAGAACATGTGTAGTAGAAAGCCCTCCAGCAGCAATATTTATTTAACGTTCTACAGTAATGCCCACGTACACACACATTTCCATTTTTCTTTTCATTAAATGTATATTCTGGTTTTTTTACATGTTACACCTTAAATTCCATGAGAAACCATACAAAAGCCCAATACAATATCTTGTTGCTGACAGTGTTTTTAGGTTTTTCCCAACATAGTGGGGTTTGTTGGTTTTTAAACTGCCTAAAAGTCAAACTTCTGTTCATAACTAGAATAGCTGTTTTAGATTCATTTTGAACAAAGTTGTGCAATGGCAGCTGCAAAGAAAACTCCAAACTCATTCCAAAATCCGTAAAACATACCTCTGAATTAGCACTATTTCCATTCTTAAGAACTCTTTCAATAATGTTTTTCATCAGAACATGACCTAGAATGAATTAAAATACATTACTAAGAATTCTTGTATGAAACAACTCTTTATGTGAACAAAGAGATCATTGAATAAGCAGTACGCATTACCTATCCTTCTTGTTTTCCTAATTTTAAAAATGTTTAGCAAATTACTGTGGCATGGTTTTATTTCTTAAAACCAGTTTACCTTTCCACTTATAGTTACTGAAGAAGAAAAAAAAAACACCACCACACAAACAAGACGAAGGCAGACACAAATACATACCTATTAATGGATTTTTTCTTATGTCAAGTACCACTAATGTTGTATTAGTTTGAAGAGCATCTAATAATGATCTTGCTCCCTCACTGGATATTCCACACTGCTGCAAATCAAGTGCTGAAATGTTTAAGGAGGTAAAAAAAAAAAAAAAAATTCATTGCACTAATGACATTTAGTTAATAATTTAATTTAATAGTCAATATCTAAAAAAATTAACCCACATATGCTGAAAATCTCCATTTCATAGAACAGGAAGCATAAGAAACAGGGACATGATAACAGCCATGCGTAAAACAGGAGTATTACTTTAAAAGAAGAAAACTAAAAAATTTAAATTGGTATTTTAGATCAACTTAAATAACTGTTAACAACTGCAAAGAAAGTAATATAAACCACTCTACAACCACTGTGGGCAACCTGTGCCAGTGTTCAGACACCCTCGCAGTGAGAAAGTTTCCTGACGTTCAGGAGAAATCTCCTGTGTTTTAATCTGTACCCACTTCCTCTTGCCTTGTCACCAAGTACCACCAGAAACAGTCTGTTTCCAACTCCTCTACAGCCTCCCTTCAGATATTTGTATGCCTTGTAAGACCCCACTCTGAACCATCTCTTCTCCAAGCCAAACAGTCCCAGCTTCCTCAGCCTGTTCTGCAATGAGAGTTGCTCTAGTCCCTTCATCATCTTAGTGGCCCTTCACTGGACTCTCTCCAGTAGCTCCAGTTCTCTCCTGTATTGGGGAATCCACATGTGGCCTCACTTTTGTTAAAAGGAAGAATCACCTCCCTCAACCTCCTCACAAGTCTTTCCCTATTGCACTCCGGGATACCACTGGCCTTCTTTGCCATGAAAGCACTTTGCTGGCTCATGGACAGCCTGTTGTCCACCAGGACCTGCAGGACCTTTCTACAAAGCTGCTTTTCAGCCATACAGACCCCAGCATGTTCTGGTGCATGGGTTTATTCCAGCCTGGGTACAGGACTTTGCACTTCCTTTTCTTAAACTCTGTGAGGTTCCCATCAGCATCTTTTCCAGCCTGCTGAGGTCCCTCTAGATGGCATCCCAACCCTGCCTTCCCAGGGATCCAAGTAAGGCTGACTAGCCTTTAGGTTCCTGGGTCCTTCTTCCCAGACTTCTCAAAGATAAGGGTGACATTAGCTATCCTCCAGTGCTCATGCACCTGTTTTCCCAATCACCATGCTCTTCCAAGGATTATTGAGAGTGGCCTCAAAATGACATCAGCCAGCTCCCTCAGCACTTGTGGATGCATCCCATTAGGACCTATGGACAACTGTTTGTCCAGTTTGTTTAAGTATTCTCTAACCTGATCCTCTTCCATCAGTATGCATGTTATCTGTAAACCTGCCTCAAACTATAAAACAGTTTCAACAGGTATTTAATTCCACGTACAGAATGCTATGATTTACACCACCACCTTTAGTAATTTTGTACAGATATAATGTAGAACAAATTAATTCTCAAAAATACTAGAGGACAATACTAGATGACACAAAAGTATTTGGATACTTTGGCAATTCAAAAGAGAAAGAAAAATTTCTTTTGAAAAAAAGAGTATTCTTCCCCAACTGCATAGCGAGTTACTCTTCTGGTGGCAATTGTTATAACTGACAATTTTAAGTTTTCTGCCTGCCACTACCATATCTTAAGAGTCTATTTTGCAATACCTTTCAGCCAAAGGTCCTCTCCTAGACAGTCTGCAAAGGCACTTGCTCCTCTATCTCCAACAAGCATGTTGCAGTTCAAAGTAACCCGTCTCAAGCCTGTCATATATTCAAGATCAGGTCGCCTGTAACGCAGGCTTTCAGCCCAAGCTTCACCATGTCTTCTCACTGCCTGGTGCTTTGCAAACAAAGAAGCTGTTAACAATGCAAAGCCAAGGCCATTACTGATGAAAAGATCACAAGTTATCGTTCTTTGTAATTCATGCTCAATGGCTTGAGTGCGGATATAAAGAAACACAGTTATACTGTTTCGGAGTTTAAGAAATGCAAGTAATTTTTAAACCTTACAGTTAACTCATGTTTGTTCGGTTTACCCAGTTTGCAACACAAATCATTAAACTTTGCAACAAAATATCTTTTTACCTTCTTTTGGCAGACAGACACTTTCAACACATTGAACAGGAAATGCATGCATACTACAAAATTCTGTGCTTTCACAAAAACCACTGTTAACATTAATTAGAATATTGCACTAGTCACATGCTTACTGTTAGTTAATCAGTAGCTTCTAAACTGTAAAATCAATTATTCTTACCCAGTGCTTAAGAATACCTGAGATATTTAAATCCCACATTAGTAAACTAAGTTAGTTTTGGCATATAAAGTCACAGCTTTCAGGACTATACACTTCAGTATTCACATTATGCTCCTCACAAAGTGCTTTAATGGATTTAAGAGCTTGAAAGTAAAAGAAAAAAATCAAATGTATTAAGTTCTTGTGAACATTTTGTTCTAAGAAAGTTATTAAAATACCTTTAATACATTTGCTATATGTTCAGCCCCTCGCCATGTGAGGCTACATGCCGTGAAGTTTACAGATCTGATAGTAGCTGCATTTTTTATACTCTGGCAGACTGCTGAGGAACAAAAAAGAATGCATGTTATCTACACACATGACTTCCAGATTATCAAGACACAGTTTTTCACTGCCCTATGAAGAGGCTAAATCAGCTTTAACAGGCAAAAGCTTTGACAAAGAAATAGCGTTACGTGAGACGTATATTTTAAATACATTTAAAGTCTTCTAGGTTTATACATTTCTAGTGCAAATGTTTAGAAAAGAGTATCTGAACAACCTAGAACATATTTTATTTCAGTTTACTTGCGGAAACTCAGGAAAGAGTTAAGAAATATAAATACTGTTTTAAATACAAGTATAAACATCATTATAAAGTAGTATGGCTCTTTACTAGCATCAAGTCTTTAAAAGTTGTTGAATCATGTAGAATAAAGCGAGGATTGTTATTTTAATCATTACAGACAAATTTAAAACAGGAATGGAAATACTGAAAAACTTGCTGACCTATTTGGAAACTAAAAAAAGAGAAAAGTATATTTACACATTTTTGATTCTGAACTTACTTTCCAACCCTCCATCTCCAATTGGACAGTGGGCTAAAGAGACACTCTCCAGAGATGAAGCTGTGGCCAAGCCCTTAAGAATAAAACAATATTGTCAACTGGCTTTAAAGGCAAAAAAAGAGAAAAGACCAAGTCACCTAAACCACACAAACTCTGTGCTCCCTACAAGAAACTCTAGGGGTTCAGAGGAAAGTCAAAACATGCAAACCTTTAAGTCCAGTTACAGCTGGTTCATTTCTTTAGAACAAGAGGAACCTCCTTTCCTAGAAGCCACTCACTAGCAAATTCAAGTGTTCCAATAATACATCTTGAAGACCAGTTTTTATCTCCTTGGTGTACCACAACTCTCCTTCTATCATGTACATGCACAGTAATTTCAGTCAAAAGCATACATTATATGCCTCAAACACATGCCTGAGATGTTGCTAAGATCTTTCCACTAAGGCTTGATGAATGTGATTTTGAGACATTTGGATAAACTAGGTTATAGTAAAGATCTCAACAGAATCATTTGTATTATGCATAACACAAACATAACTTAGAAGAGAACCATCCTTGTCTGACAAATACTTAGAAAATTTAGTTGCTACTATTCTTTATTCTGGGCATATTTGCCATCTATTTGTATACTAATATATTCTCACCTTTGTTAAAAGTGTTAGATCTCTTTCCCTCAGAAGCAAACCCTGCAGTTCTAAATTTTTTAGTACATCTGATATACTGAGACAGCCTTTCACAGCTTTGCATAGTTGGCCAGTTAAGTCTTTTGATAGAGTTGCTGGAGTTCTCCTTCTAAAGTAAGTTTTATATCTTTCAACACCTAGTAAACAAAGGAAATTACACATCAGTAAAATCAAGTATCTACTGGCTTAAAAGCAATCACAATCACACCTTGCTTTTCTTTGCATATTTTCTGAAATAGAAATAATTCCTTAGGCAATACAATTCCTCCCCCCATGTATTCAATCATACTGATGTTTTATGCAACAAATTGCAACACGCGTACATCAAAATATTTAACTTTTATAGCCATCACTACGGACCTGATCCTTCAAGACCATGTTGATGTAAACTTCTTATTCCAATAGAAGTCAGAGTCTTATTATGCCTGATAGCATTCAGAAGTGGTGCCCAGTCAGTAGCTTTGATGTGATCTACAATTAGATCAATACCATTCTGAGTCAGGTTAGCCTTCACAGCTTTCAGTGGGACAGAGCCTTGAAGTTCACAAAGATGTTCATAATGTGAGTAGAAATCCAGCATGCACTGCCTTCTTAATTTGACTGACTCAATCATTTCTTTTATGTGATATATTTCTCTGTAAAATAAAAAAGGGGAAAAAAGATATAAAATTTTTTCAATGTATAACTGATTTTGCGACACAGTCTCAATTCAATATGCATACCCAAAACATGGAAATGTTCCTATATATTGTATAGCATTTACATGTCCTTAATGTGGCAGCTAAAAAACTGATGTCTTGTGATGCTCACTACTTGCGTAAGTACAGCTGAATAAATAAGGGGCTGAAAAAAAACCCAAACCAACAAACCCACATTTTTATTCTCCCCACACAAACAGGTATATTCAAAACACAAAAGGCCTGATCTTCAAGCACTAACTGTTGTAAAGATCTTATTTTCCTCTTAAAATTTAATTTTGTAGTGTCAGGGTCTGCAGACTCCCAAAAGCCTTGGATACTCCCTGGCCCACCATAAGGGGAAACATACAGAACTAGTTGGGAAACAGAACTTTTTTGCTACTTCAGCCAAAAGTCTAAATTCCTCTCAGAATACAAAATAAAAATGTGTTTTCCTAAATACTTTTGCTATTGCATACCTTATATATGTATCCCAGTAAATTTCAGAAAGCACTTTTAAGGTATAAGTTTTTGTTTTACATTAGTAACCATGTAGCAAAACAGTACTAACTTCCAAGGAGAATCTCTAAATACTGCTATTAAGCGTTAAGTAAATCCACTGTCTCAATAGAAATATTTGTCAGTATACATAGAAGATACATTTATTTAAGATCAAGATAGAATTAAGTATTCCATACAGGATATCAAACATTTTTCATATTGCAAACATTTTTTCTTACTGCTACAGACTAGAAAGCTTCAAGCAATCTTCTAAAAAATTCTGTATGTCAAATTAGGACAAGAATTACTGGACAGATACAAGCATGTAAGGACAGCCATTTCTAAGAATATAATTAGAAAAAAATTATATTTTTTAGTATTCAAATGACTAAAAATGTCATAAGATACAAACTCTAATAATACATAAGTTATATATAATACAATTAATATTACTATAATAATACAGTTCCTTCACACTCTTTTATTTATTTTATTTTAGCTATGATTTACCAGCATTTAATGATTAAACTGTGGCCACAGGAACAGAAATTATTAAATTATAGTCCAACACTTCAGCTTCAGAAAGTGGTCATCAGCTTTAAGGCACCAATGGCTTCTGGTCGATACAAAAAATACTAGCCTTTTATCTCCAGAGCTTAAGCAATACTCTTTCACAGTGGCTTTCATTCCAACACCTGAACACCACACCTCTAACTGAAGTAAAGAAACAAGACCCGGGCCCTAGAATTCGGAGCTAAACTCACTTGCAGGTAGAAAGGAAAAGGGCCAAACTAATTATACCCACAACACCTTCCAAATGAAAAACAGCTATGAAAGCTAGAACTCTTCTGCAATGAAGTCAGTGCATCTGACACAACCTTAGAGTATCTTGACGGGCTCTGACAGTGTACAGAGACAACAATTATTTACTTATCTTTCAATATAGATGCCAGAAAACATCAGATGATACTAGCTGGTAACAAATAAAAAGAAACACAAATAAAACTGAAAAATCCAATGCCATGCAAAGAGTCTCCAGGCAGGAGGCTATGACTTTGGAGCGATTAAAATAATGAGCTGGGCCAATGCATAGAGGAGCAAACAAATAGCACATCAGGTATTCACTGCCTGCAGAAGCCATGGCCATGTCGCACATCCCGAACTGCAGGACACAGGCGGGAAACTTAACTGGGCGCTGACCTTACGCTTACTTGCCTTGTTAACCATGGCCTGGTGGTCTTCTGGGACTGCGCTCATTGCATTTGACCTGCTGCCGCACTGTGTCTAAGTATGTAATGAAGCATCCAGATAACACACGCAAATAGACAATCGTGGTTTTAACTGGCATAAAAGAGGAGCTTTTTAGTGTTTCACCCACTCAATATTGACACCGCTTCTGAGAACTCCTTCAGACCGTCCACCGGCAACAACCAGGGGTTGCGCTGTCCGCCGCCACCCCCAGGAGCACGCGAGAGGCGGCCGGTCGCTCCCGCACCCGCGACCCCGCGCCCCCCGCCCCGACGGTCCCCCCTTCCCGGAACCGACTTCAGCCACCTCCGCGGGCTCCGCGCTCGCCCCCTGAGCCCCTGCCCGCTTTTTCCGCTGCCCCTCCGCGGGCTCCGCGCTCGGCCTCTCCTGCGCCGCCGTTACTGCCCCGTTACGGCCTCCGCCCGCGCCGTTACCGCGGCCGCGCGCCTCCCCCTCGCTCCAACCGCCGCCGCCGCGCGCCGCCACGTGGCACGAGAGGCTGACACTCCATTGGCCACTGCCCCTCTGCCCGCCCGCGTGCAAAATGGCCGCACCCGGCTATGGCAACGGCGGGGGAATTGGGTGGAAACTCCACGGCTGAACGCGAACTACCTGTGTTAAGAAAAGATAAAAAAGCTTTAAGTGCAGTGCTGAAAGAAAGCAGACAGGCTGTCCTTCAGTACGTTTTATACATGCTGCCTAGCTTTACTGTGAGCAAGGCATGCGAGTAAGGAGCTGTATCGGTAGGGAAACAGCTCTACTCATGTACAGCAGTAGCCGCACTCAACTGCCCCGAGCAGTCCGGGAGGGTGAACAAATTCCGCTTTCACAGTTACGTTTCTCATTAGTTTCCTAGGTTAGTTTACATAGAGGAGACTTCACATCAGAGAACCATTAACATTCAGTGCAGTGCATTACACAGTGCAACATTTAAGGCAAAATAACTCAAAATGGAGTCTAAGTGCTGATCCTAGAATTTGGAGCTCATTCATGTGTAAGGACACCAGCTAATTAAAAAAAAATTATTACTGTAGATTGATGACTAAGAGTGACTTGGTTATCTAAAAAGTTATGTCTCTAGTCTGCTTGTAGGCAGCAGGATTTAAACTCTAAAGTTGAACAAACTCCAGAGAGCTTTCCAGAGAAATTAGATGGGCCCCTAGAACATTGTGAGGACACTGTGTTTACGCAGATGCAATGTTACACACTGTCTTTGACTGACATCATAAGCAATTGAAGCACCTTAAGTGCTATCAAGTGTACGGAACAAGACTTATTTCAGTGAGTCTCAGATCACCATCCATGCAAATTATTTCACTGTGACATTTTGTGAATTGAATGTAAAAGACGAGACACAGGTCCACAATCAGCCAAATGGCAAAACCAGTGTTTTTGTGACTGTATTAAACAACATTTCTGGTGCTTGTCATACCTCTCAGTGCTGCAGACGAAACTCAAGCAAAATAAAATTCATATATTCTCAAGAACCTTTACTTCTAAAGATTTGCTGTTCAGGCTACTTAATTAAAAAGGCATCTCCAGAACTGAAGTTCATAATATTGCATAGAAACTGCTCCAAGTTGCCCAAGTTGCTCCCTACCAAACTTGATTTTCTTTGAAAAATAATGCTGAGTGTCCTTTTCCTTGGCATTTAATTCAGTGATTTTGCTTTGCATTCTATTTACTTCTCTAAAGTGTTTTCCTCTTTCTTTTATTTTTTAATTGAATTTTGGTGCACATGACGCAGATCTGCCAAAACAGTTGGGTACTGAGAGCATATCAAGACTGCTTTGTGTATATGAATCATTGTATATGCTCTAGACGCAGGCTTTATGTAGTATCTGTAATGATGTCTTATCCTGCATCCCAGGATCTGTCATGTGCAGACCTTTCACAGCCTACAAATTTGTTGCAGAACACACCCAGATTGGTGTGCAAACTGCAGGTTGTGCCCTGGCTGGTGGAAAAAGGCTGGAGCCCTGGGCAATCAGCTGGAAAGGGGCACTGCCCTTCTGCCTACCAAAGGGCGGCAGTCCTGCAGCACCGGCTGGCCAGGGGTGGCCGGTCACCCAGAGACTCTGCAGGACCCAATGAGAAGTGAGAATACCCCAAATACAAAATAATTTTTGCTGTAGTTTTGTTTTCTCTTTGGCTAGAGATCTCATTTCTTTTGTAATATATCATATATATTGTTTTTGCAACTATAATCACTACTTCCTTCTACAGTGAGAGGCATTTCCCTTTGTTTTAGAGCTGCAAAAACATAAAGTGATTTGGTGAGATACCAGGTGTATCTGATGTAGAGAACAGTCCTAAAACAGACCTAATTCTGTCACTTTGGCAAATGATGTAATCTTCACCATCTATTATTTTGCTGAATTTGTTGAACCAATTTTTGTTCTCGCTGTTTCCTTCCTGTATCTTTCTAGACTATATGCTCTTTGGATTTTGTTTGCGTTTTTGTTTAATGTATACTAATTTTTTTTCATCTGATTTAACATGACAGTCTCACACCATAGCCAACATTAGAGAGGCATCAGGGAGATAAAAAAAGGGCTGTGCACTTTACCCTTGTGCACAGTGGGTGGGCAGCAGATATTTTCTCTTTGATTTATGAGGATTTCTAGAAGGTATTCTACTTGATTAATGTTCTTCTATGTCATCCCTTACTGCCCAGTAAGGATGTATTAAAGGAACAACTTCACATTTTGTCCTTTTTTTTTTTAACTTCCCCTTCTAGCCTTTTAAAGTCTGCTTCCAAGACTAAATAGCTGATTCCAAGACTAAATAGCTAACAATTTTCCTCTGTTCTGCAGAATGCCGGTGGGGTTGAGTGCTAAGTGAAAAAAGGACAAACCCTAAATTTCCACAACTATTTGTCAGGTTTTAAGAGCTGCAGGTAGGACAGTTTTGTGTACCTTTTGTCCAGAAGCCTGAGAGGGCCCTTTGTTGCTAGGGAGAAAGGTTCATCAAGCAAAGATGTATTGGCAGAGCCTGTTAATCTTCTGCTTAAGGCATGGAGGAAATAGTTATTGTATTCTGTCATCATTAAACAGCTTTATCATATTTTTATTGGAAGCTCATGATTGCGTAAGACAAGTGCCCAGTGTTATTTATTATTTGCATTATACTGTAACAGGATTGACCCTTCAACACACACAAAATGTGTAAAACAAACTACAGAATCTCAATGATTGCCTCAGGGCACTGGAAAACTGGTAACAATGGATGAGGAGAAGGCTGAGATACTCAACACCTTTTTTGCCTCACTCTTCAATGGCAACCTCTCTTCCCACACTTCTTGAGTGGATGGACAGCAGGTTGGGGACTGGGGGGGCAAAGTTTCTCCCACTGTAAGTAAAAATCAGGTTTGTGACCACCTGAGGAGCCTGAATGTATGTAATGGGATGCATCTCAGAGTCCTGTGGCAATTGGCTGATGCAGTTGCCAAGCCACTCTCCATGACATTTTGAAAACTCGCAGAATCACAGAATCCCAGAATATGCTGAGTTGGAAGGGACCCACAAGGATCATCAAGTCCAACTCTTAGCCCTGCACAGGAACATCCCCAAGAGTCACACCGTGTCCCTGAGAGTATCATCCAAATGCTTCTTGAACTCTTATCAGGCTTGGTGCTGTGATCACATTCCTGGGGAGCCTGTTCCAGTGCCCAACTACTCTCTGGGTGAGGAACCTCTTTCTAAGATCCTAAACCTCCCCTGACACAACTTCAGGCCATTTCCTTGGGTCCTGTCACTGGTCACCACAGAGAAGAGATCAGTGCCTGCCCCTCCTCTTTCCTTCACAAGGAAGTTGTAACTGCAATGAGGTCTCCCCTCAGTCTCTTCTTCTCCAGGCTGAACTGACCAAGTCACCTCAGCCGCTCTTCATATGGCTTCCCCTCAAGGCCCTTCATCATCTTCATTGCCCTCCTTTGGACATTCTCTAAGAGCTTAATATCTTTCTTATATTGTGGTGCCCAAAACTGCACACAATATTCAAGGTGAGGCCGCCCCAGTGCAGAGCAGAGTGGGACAATCCCCTTCCTCGACCGGCCTGATGCCCCCCAGGAAATGGTTGGCCCTCCTGGCTGCCAGGGCACTGCTGACTCATATTCAACTTGCCATCAACCAGGACCCCCACGTCCCTTTCTGTGGCACTGCTTTTCAGCACCTCATTCCCAGTCTATGCAGATGTCCAGGGTTCCTCCATCCCAGGTCCAGAATCCAGCACTTCCCCTTGTTGAACTTCATCTGCTTGGTGATTGCCCAGTCCTCTAATTTGTTGAGATCTCTCTGCAGGGCCTCCCTGCCTTCCAGGGAGTCAAAGCTCCTCTGAGTGTTTTGTCATCTGCAAACTTGCTTAGTATCCCTTCCAGTCCTGTGTCCAAGTCATTTATGAAGATGTTGAAGAGCACAGGGCCAAAGATGGAGCCCTGTGGAACCCAACTAGTCACCAGTCTGATGTCACCCCATTCACTATTACCCTCCCTGTTCGACTCATGAGCCAATTGCTCATGATGAGTTTATCCAGCTGTATGCTGGAGAGTTTGTGCAGAAGGATCCTAGGAGAGGCAGTATTGAAGCTTTGCTGAAATCCAAAAAATTACATCAACTGGCTTCTCTTGATCAACTAGGTGAGTTACGTAAAAGGAAATCAGGTTGGATAAGCAGGACTTTCCTGTCATGAAGCCGTGCTGGCTGTGACCAATGACTGTGTTGTCTTTCAGATGTTTTTCAATACTTCACGGAATAATCTTCTCCATAATTTTACCAGGCACTGAAGTGAGACTGACAGGCCTGTAGTTTCCAGGGTCCTCCTTCTTGCCCTTCTTGAAAATTGCACAACATTCGCCAGCTTCCAGTCAGCTGGGACCTCTCCGGATTCCCAAGACCGCTCAAAAATCATTGTAAGAGGTTTTTGATGACATCAGCCAGCTCTTTGAGGATTCTGAGATGACACCCATCAGGCCCCATAAATTTGTAGAGGTCCAGCTGGAATAGCAGATCCTGCACAATTTCAGGTTCAACTGGGAGTTGATCATTCTTGCAGTCATGGTCCTCCAACTCGGGGCACTGAGAGCTCCTTTGTCCATCATCCGTGTTGAAGTCATGGCATTTGGGTGAAGTCCTGGGTGACTAGAAAAAGGGAAACATTGTATCCATCTTTAAAAGCATAGAAAGGAGGATCCTGGAAACATCCAACCTGTCAGCCTCCCCTCTGCGCCTGGGAAGATCCTCCCAGAAGTTACGCAAAGGCACATGGGGGACAGGGAAGTGATTCGAGACAGCCCAGCACAGTTTCATCAAAGGCAAGTCTTGCCTGACCAACCTAGTGACCTTATATGGTAGAGTGATTACATCAGTGGACAAGGGAAGGGCTGCAGATGTCACTTACCTGAACTTCTGTAAAGCCTTTGTCACGGTCCTC